CGATACTGAAGTAGTAACGTCAAAAGCTGGTAAATTTGAGACAGGGCTTAGCATCAGCTTTAGATAGAGAAAAACTGATTCATGAAAAGTTCAAAGCTCACGATGGAGATTTGGAAAAATTGACAAAGGCTGAATGGAAGGAGTTGAGGAACCAGGGCCGGATGGATGAGCATCAGGTTTCAGGCATAATGTCGAAATTCAAAATATTTTGTCAACAATATGTCGAAATTTTGGCATAGGATCGGAGGGATTTTCCGAGATATTCATTCGTCGAAAAATTGGAACTTCTAAAATACGAAATTTCTACGTTTTTTTTCTGTACTATGCGATGTTGACGGCACGACCTCTCGAAATGATGCAGTTTCCGCATTATAAATATTCTGACGTCTCGAAATCAGAACTTTTCAAAAAGTGTATCTTCCTGAATGCCGGGGCATTGACGTTTTCGATTCAGATCCGCAGCGAATGGTTTCGACAAGAGAAAATCTATCCAGACATTGCCAAAAAAGTCTGATGTAGTAGTACCCGGTAACCTACATAAGATATCATCGAAAAATGTTCTATTCCTAGATGATGTGGCACGGGAGAATTTGCAGAAAATTATGAAGAACACCAACGTCCCAGTCCTCAAAAAAATCCCGAAAAACGCATTTGAAGAGCTGAAATCTGCCAATGACTGGGATCCGGAGAGGGTAGGTCGCTGGGATCATCTACAATTTCTAATTTTTAAATCAAACTGAAATTTCAGGTGAAACACGAATGGAAGCTGGAATACCAGCGACAAGTTTACAAAAAAGATGCAAAAGCGAAGGCTAAACTGAAGCCTGCAACCCGTAAGTTGTTGGTACTGAACTGTTATCGGGGGGGAAGAGGACGAGAGAGAAACGGAAGCTGATCTTTTTCTACCGTGATTTTTTTGGTTGCTAGGAGGTTATAAAAATACCCAAAAAAGTTTTTTGTCAGGACCCGTATTCCGAGGTCGAGGAGCACAACGCCAAGAAATGCTGCTGCCATATTACGAGAAAGCCCGACGAATGAGTTCATTGACGACGCAGGATAGGAGAGCCTTGGAAGCGCAAACCGGATTAAAATGGGAGCAGGTGTGTATGTAAGTTATTATGGAGAACCGGATATAAAATAAGGGTGGCGTACCAGCAGATCTCAGATCTCTCTCTCTCTCTCTCGCTCTCTCTCTCTCTCTCTCGCTCTCTCTCGCTCTCTCTCGCTCTCTCTCTCGCTCTCTCTCCCTCACGCTCTCTCTCTCTCTCTCTTTCTCTCTCTCGATCGCTTCCTCGCTCTCGATCGCTTCCTCGCTCTCACCCAGCATCTCTCACGCTTGATCTCTCTCAGGCCCTCTAGATCAGTTCAACTTTAGATTGACGACACCTTCAAACAGCTGGACAAAAAAGTGTCGATCAGTGAGTTTCCAGTTTTGCTTTACAGCTTTAAAATCTAGCTTTAATTATATATTTTTGCGTGGATAGATGCGCCCGTTTTACTCACCCTCCGATACCACGGTTTTAGAACCGTCGATTGACTTCAAATGGCACCATCCGCCGGACTACGATCGTCGAAGTCACCTCCTTATTGAGCCTTAAGAACGTCGAATCCAATTCTAGGGCAAATCTATGCCAACGCCAGCCCGAAAACCCGAGCAGAAATCCGGGAGGCGATGAACAAGAAATCTGACTGGAGTCTTGACGAAACGGCAAAGGTGGCCCAGGAACGATGGGGGATCACTGCGCAGGAGGTGACGCATTTTTCCGTATTTCCGCCGTATCTGGGGGACTGTACGTCAGCATCTATTTTTATAGTATTTTTTGAAACTATGTAAAAATTTTAGACGTATCCAAATGCGCGACTATAAAAATTGTTGAGATAAAATCATTGAGTTATTTTTACGGAACCACCATAAACTCATTTTGAGATGGACGCGATCCACAATGAAGGGCTAGCCAAACAAATTAAAATGCGTAGGTCGCGCTGTTTCACAGGTCAAAAATTTCTTACAAGGAGACGTTTTTTAGTGTGAATGGAGTTTTAAGTTGAAACCAGGCCTATTCTGTGCAGAATTTTGCGCTGATTCGATGCTGTTTTCCAATTTTGCTAAATAGCTCGATTTAAAAAGTTACAGCTATTTTAAGATAATTTTTAGGCCCAGAGTAGCCATATGCTATGCTGTGCTACTTTTTTGTTATAACGCTTTAATTTTGTTTAAGTAGCCTATCTTGTAGAGAATTTTTTTCTGATTCGAATGGTATATTTGATTAGTGCGCTACTGCCGATCGTCGATGGCTTACAGGGGTGAGGAATAGGCTGTTTTTCACCATTTCCCATACAAAAATCGCAGCCCATACCAAGTATCGTCGATTTTTTCGATTTTCAACAATTTTGAGTTAAATAGCTCACTCGATAGAGAAAATTTTTCTGAATACGGTGACGATATTTATTTTTGGAAAAACAGCCGGGAAAAGCAATATAATGGTCCCTAAAGAGGGGAAAATTTGGGCTAAAATTATCTAAAAATTGATATAACTTTTGAAATTGAGCTATTTAGCAGAAATGGAAAACAGTTTCGGAATCAGCGCAAAATTCTGCACAAAATAGGCCTGGTTTCCACTCAGAACTCCATTCACACCAAAAAAGGTCTCCTTGTTAGCTATAATCCCGGCTGTGACCAGCCGGGCCCTAGCGGAAGTGGAAATGGCAAGCGCAAGAAGCGTGGAACGGGATGCAACTTTGCTGTCAAGAAGCTGGATGTGCCAAAGGACGCAAGGGTAAGACACATGATCGTATATTTCAGAACGGGAGAGTTTCTATTATTGTAGTGCTTTGTAATATCTGTGTGAATTTCCTTGAGAGAATTGAGAAAATATTTATTATTTAAGTATATATTGATTTTAAAACTTGTTATATGAAACACACATCTGCTTAATGGGATAAAACAAACTTAATGGGATAAAACACTTGAAGTGATATTAAAGCTCGACTCGAATAGCTACTGGCAAGAAAAGGCTCGAAAAACATTATACAGCCGGTTGTGTTAGGATTTTAAAAAATGAAGACCAGTTCGAAAAAATACATTAAAGGGCTCGAGAAAGATGCATTTGGCGAAAAAGCAAAGAATTTTGCAGCGGGCGGGAGTCGAACCAGCGATGGTTCACCCCACAGCCCAGCGTGCTAACCAGTAGACCATGGCGCCAACCGAGCCGGCGCGATGAAAAGCCATCAAATACCCTAGGGTTCTTCCACCGGCCTTTCCCGGGTTTCTCGCTTTGGCCTGCGCGGAAATTCGACTTTGCATGAAAATTACGGATTCCGAATACGAATTACGTCGATAGTAGCGTCGTGTCGGTCCGTCGCCCTGACGGACGCCTGGCCATCTTTCTCCAGCCCTTTAAAAAGCATAAGCTCAAGGCAAAAGTGGGGGGAAGGGGGATAAGAGATTCAATGATTTTTGTAGGAAATGAGAATCGTGGAATTAAGGCGATTTGAGGCGTCGTTTTTATCTTCCGGAAGCCGTTCGCTTAGCCAGTTTTAGAACCTAAAATTTATAACGTAATCCGGAAAAAGAGACTTTTACCTTCAACCTCTCCCCAGACTGGTGGATGCGTTGGATGGTAGAGATGTGACCGGGACATGCCCAAGACAAACATTCATCGTATTTCAGCTGATCCTGAAGTAGCAAATAATAGAATATTTTTGTGGACATATCATCTTTTTTTTTGTCACTACATCTTTAAAAAGCTAGAAAGTTCAGGATCTAGTAAATGTTGTCGTTTACGCATAACTCCAAGGCCCACGCGCTATGTTTCGGATTCTCACGGATAATTACTCGGTTTCGGGTGTAATTTGGAGCGTCATGTAACTTTTAGCCGGAAATCTAGCTAGCTAGTGACGTTGATCAAGCCCCACCTGACGACAAGTAGCGTCCAGACCGCGGTCCGCAAGCATCATCCGGTAGCAGACCCAGTCAACGTGATAGATCCCGCAGCTAATACACTTCAATCTGAAAAGTTGATGCCTGATCTCATCAACTTTATATACATCTAGATAAAGACTTAAGGTATAATTTTTAAACATTTCGTTTACCTCAACATAGGAAGTACCCGGAACTGTGGTCTCCTCGTTGCACACGGCGCATTGAATGTTCCTCTGGGACACGGGCACGGTTTCGGGGTCTTCAGGATATCGAGGATAAGGCTGATCAAACCGAAGCTCTTCGGCGACTTCCAAAGTGGTGCGTGCGGTGCTGCGCTGGCTGAAAAGGCTCAAGCTTGACCGTGAGAATTCAACTATTTTCGTCAAGTCCGAAAAATCAGCCGTCATAACTCACAAGGAGACGTTTTTTAGTGTGAATGGAGTTTTAAGTTGAAACCAGGCCTATTCTGTGCAGAATTTTGCGCTGATTCCGATGCTGTTTTCCAATTCTGCTAAATAGCTCGATTTAAAAAGTTACAGCTATTTTAAGATAATTTTTAGGCCCAGAGTAGCCATATGCTATGCTGTGCTACTTTTTTGTTATAACGCTTTAATTTTGTTTAAGTAGCCTATCTTGTAGAGAATTTTTTTCTGATTCGAATGGTATATTTGATTAGTGCGCTACTGCCGATCGTCGATGGCTTACAGGGTGAGGAATAGGCTGTTTTTCACCATTTCCCATACAAAAATCGCAGCCCATACCAAGTATCGTCGATTTTTTCGATTTTCAACAATTTTGAGTTAAATAGCTCACTCGATAGAGAAAATTTTTCTGAATACGGTGACGATATTTATTTTTGGAAAAACAGCCGGGAAAAGCAATATAATGGTCCCTAAAGAGGGGAAAATTTGGGCTAAAATTATCTAAAAATTGATATAACTTTTGAAATTGAGCTATTTAGCAGAAATGGAAAACAGTTTCGGAATCAGCGCAAAATTCTGCACAAAATAGGCCTGGTTTCCACTCAGAACTCCATTCACACCAAAAAAGGTCTCCTTGTCAGAAAAACTTTTTCGGCTTTGAGAATCGTTCAATTACGCCAAAATCCTGATTTCTATGTGTAA